CAACACCCACCCATACATGGAGCCACGGGGGCTAATCACGTCCACCGAATCGTGATGGATGCGATGCACTGACTGGGCGGACTTGACCTGACTGTACACTGATCGACGGCACTCGGTTGGCTGGCAGTGGATGCATTCACTCGTCGCCAGTCGTGGGTGAGTAGATGGCCTTGGCGATCTCATCAACAATCGCCATCTTTGTCTGCCCCTTGCGGGTGTCAACACCGTACACCTACACACACAAACACAGAGCACCACACACAGCAGCAAAGACATACCCATGTTCACGGCAGGTTGGCGGTGTGGGTGTGTGGGTGTGAATGTGTGTGGGGGTGGTGGCTGGTTGGTTACCTTAGCGAAGTGGATGAGCTGGTCCTTCTTGTACAGGTTCACCCAATCGTATATGTCGGTGCGACTGGCGGGCACAGCCTACACCATGACAGACACGCACACAGTCATGACGTACGTCCTCTCTGGGCCACCTCGGGAGGTCTCTCCCTTACTTACCGGCACATCGTTGTTGACGTGCTCTTGCACGCCCGTCACTTTGACGCCTGCCACCTTGTCCCTCATCTGCTTGCTCTCTGCAGCGGCCTGAGCAGCATGCTCCTCTGCTACCTTGATACGATCCACCAACTGACCACCATCGATACGCAGGCAAGGCAGCATGTATGTATCCATTTTGTTCCAGCCACTCCAGCCGCACCTCCTGGATCTGCTTGTCCGCGAGTGCTTTCTCCTCAGACACACGAGCCATATCGGCGACCACCTGACACACACAACACAGCGGCAGCGATCCGTGTGTGGCCGGTGGTGGTCATGTCCTCCGTCTGATCGCCTGCAGATCTGTGTACCTTGTCGTATTTGCTCTTGAGCTGATCGAAGTCCTTGACGCGATCGCGCTGCGCCTCCAGCTCGGCCGCCAATGTGTGCATCTGGCTCTCGAGTAACCGCACCTTGCTCCTCTCAGCCTCGAGAGCCTTCTCGTGCTTGACACACCCACGCACGCACGCACAGCGCCAGAGTGAAATGCATGAGAACACATTGCTCCACTGTGCTTGCAGTACTCTTGTGCGATTGCGTCGCTGTCCACCGTAGGACGGCGTATGAGTCCCCCCAGCTTGACTTTCTGAGGGCATGCAGCAAAACAACACGCACACGGGGGGAGATAGATCAATGAATGCATCAATATCTTTGTTTCTCTTGTGCTCACCTGTGATTTCTGCAGCTTGGCAATGACTGCCACAGCCGCTAGGGCAGCGAAGCCAGCGAATATCACACCCTTCTGCCACTGTGTCAGCGCCTTGATGGATGGCCACACGGCTATAGCGGCCCATCTCCCGCCTCTGTGGCACAGCGGGGTGCCGCCACTCAGCGACTGTGCATGATGAAGCGCAACAGACGCAGAATGGCCGTCCCTGCACATCTAAGCTCGCAGTGCGCGGCGATCGGCCGAGTTGGGAGGTTTTTTTCCATTGCAAGTGGCCATGGTGGCCGCTGCCGTGCTCATCTGAACAGTACTGACGCCTGGGGTTTGCGAAATGGGTGAATGCAGGTGTGCAGCAGTGGGCGGCAGACGCACCGAGACACTCAGACACACACAACTCGACGAGTGTCCAGCGCAGGAGGCTGGGAAGTCGGGGAATGACTGTTGGTGTGGTGGGCTGTCTGTGTGCGGCGGTTGGGCGGCTGGCCTTGCGTGTGTGAGAAGTGGGTATGCGGCAGGGGGGGTATCGATGGGGTGAGTGCGGTGAAGTGGTGAGAGGTGCAGTTTGGTGGAAACGACGAATGGCAAACCGATGGGCGTTGACAATCAGAACATCTTGTAGATAAGCTCTACAGTCAATACTCGTCCTTCCAGGTCATCGCCAAGTTGGCCAAAAACCCATGGACACAGAGAGAGAGGGAGTGCGTGCAGGGGTGAGTGGCTGTGTGTAGGGGTGCAAGGGGGTGTCCATACGATGCACACACACACAGACAACACACACAGCATCAGACAGACAGACACGCTCGGCTCGGCCCTTCGGACCTCGCCTTCGCACGGCACACACACACACACAGAGAGAGATAGAGAGTGTTTGTGTGTGTGCAGGGGGTGGCTGGATCGGTGTGTGGGGGGGTCGTGTGTGTGTGATGCACACACACAGACACAGACGCACTCAGGCTCGGCTCGGCCCTTCGGGCCTCGCCTTCGCATGGGTGAGTCAGCAAGCTGGACACGATTGTGAGTGAATCCAAGAGGGTTCAAATATCTCAAATCATGTGTATGTGTCCCATTCGCACACATACACACACACACACATACACAGACACATACCAAACGCAATCCACCGCACATACGTATACATATACATGTGGTCTCAGCACGGCACACACATAAACAGAGGAAAAGAGAGAGGGGGTGGGAAGAGGAGCCGAGGGGGCGAAAGAAGGCAAAGTCAAAACCGTTGTCTGTGCCCAGAGGCATCTAACACAACCAACCGACCGGGGGCACACATGCTCCAGTGACTGACTTATATACAGCACGCTCATCATGTGACCGACGCACGAAAACCGAAAGCAATTCCCTCCATCCATCCATCCCTCCCTCACTACACACAAAAAGCCCGCGAACCGCACCTACCCCACAGGCAGTAAGGCACCTTCTCTTCTTGATCATCCCCAGCTACCTACCTGTCTATCTACCTGTCTATCTACCTGCCTACCTGCCTGTTGCATACATCACACAACACCCATACATGGAGCCACGGGGGCTAATCACGTCCACCGAATCGTGATGGATGCGATGCACTGGGCGGACTTGACCTGACTGTACACTGACCGACGGCACTCGGTTGGCTGGCAGTGGATGCATTCACTCGTCGCCAGTCGTGGGTGAGTAGATGGCCTTGGCGATCTCATCAACAATCGCCATCTTTGTCTGCCCCTTGCGGGTGTCCACACCGTACACCTTTCAGCACCAGACACATACACATGTTTGCGGCAGGTTGGTGTGTGTGGTGTGGTGTGGTGTGTGGGTGTGAATGTGTGTGGGGGTGGTGGCTGGTTGGTTACATACCTTAGCGAAGTGGATGAGCTGGTCCTTCTTGTACAGGTTCACCCAATCGTATATGTCGGTGCGACTGGCGGGCACAGCCTACACCATGACAGACACGCACACAGTCATGACATACGTCTCTCTTGGCCACCTCGGGAGGTCTCTCCCTTAAGTACTTACCGGCACATCGTTGTTGACGTGCTCTTGCACGCCCGTCACTTTGACGCCTGCCACCTTGTCCCTCATCTGCTTGCTTTCTGCAGCGGCCTGAGCAGCATGCTCCTCTGCTACCTTGATACGATCCAGTAGCTGACCACCATCCATATCAGTCAGCATCAGCATACCATCCATGTTGTTGCAGCCATCGTCATGCGTGTCTTCCTCGTACATACCTCTTGGATCTGCTTGTCCGCGAGCGCTTTCTCTCAGACACACGAGCCATATCGGCGACCACCTGACACACACAACACAGCGGCAGCGATCCGTGTGTGGCTGGTGGTGGTCATGTCCTCCGTCTGATCGCCTGCAAATCTGTGTACCTTGTCGTATTTGGTTTTGAGCTCGTCGAAGTCCTTGACACGATCGCGTTGCGCCTCCAGCTCGGCCGCCAATGTGCGCATCTGGCTCTCGAGTGACCGCACCTTGCTCCTCTCAGCCTCGAGAGCCTTCTCGTGCCTTACACACCCACGCACGCACAGCGCCAGAGTGAAATGCATGAGAACACATTGCTCCACTGTGCTTGCAGTACTCTTGTGCGATTGCGTCGCTGTCCACCGTAGGACGGCGTATGAGTCCCCCCAGCTTGACTTTCTGAGGGCATGCAGCAAAACAACACGCACACGGGGGGAGATAGATCAATGAATTCATCAATATCTCTGTTTCTCTTGTGCTCACCTGTGATTTCTGCAGCTTGGCAATGACTGCCACAGCCGCTAGGGCAGCGAAGCCAGCGAATATCACACCCTTCTGCCACTGTGTCAGCGCCTTGATGGATGG